TTGCACTCATTTTTGTCTCGTGCAAACGGATGATGGCACAACGCGTTTTCTTATCCATCAAAAAATACAAAAGAGTGACGCTATAGAAATGAAACTTTTCACACACATAGACAATAATGTTGGGGAGTAAAACTGCATGAAAAGATTGCTAGGGCTTTTGTATTTATATAGTTAAAAATATAGGCCAAAAGTGGACAGGACTTTCTGGTCACCCTGTATATAATACAATAACGTAAGCAAGTAGAGTACCGGAGAATTAAGGGTGCTCAAACTTTTGGGTAATAGGGGCTTTGCTGCTTGTGCGCCTCGAACCACAAAATTGAAGGCTTGTGCTGCAAAAAAGCCCTAAGTACGAGTCGTTAGGGGAGGGGGTCTTCATGCCTTAGTCGTTCGTGAAGTTACTCTCTTTCCTATCTTTTTTTTTTTACACTTTTAAGAGGAGGGATATGGCTACCACCCCTCTCTTCATCCTAGCGCTCTTGCATCACATGCACGCGTTGCCGAAGAACTTGAAGATAATTAAGAAATCTCGTACGAGAACTCCCAGGAATGGGTCATGATTGGAGTTCGCTAACGAGAAGGGTGGAGGGCGGGGGATTCTATTAATCGTCGTAAATATACACCCAGAACGAGTTTATTAATGTAAGTGGAATAGGAACTCCTAATGATGTTTACAGGAATCCAGTAAGGTACATTCTATTCACATGAAGGAAAAGGACAATGAAAAAAAAAGCCATAAGGAAAACTTTCTCATGGTTTGGACGCTTCGCTGCAGGACGTGAAACATTTACCATCATCGTGTTTTATCGATGCCGGCTAATTAACTAGCATGGTTAATTGGCATGCATCGACCCCTAGGTCGTGCCTCCCAATTAACAGACGCCGATGAAGCGGTCGAACGAGTTCGGGTGAACTGCCTTGGAGACCTCGTCTCTTATGGCTTCCCAGTCAAGAACGACTGGAATGAATCGAGCATGACAAGAATGACTCAAGAACGACGATAATGACTCAACCATGACAGATCAATAGCGAAATGGCTAGCAGGAAGGAGGAAAACTGGTATTTGCAGGGAAGCTACCTCTCCCCCGTTCTTAGGGCATTCGCTTGCCCGGTGTCGCCAATTACCTTGGAACTTGGGCTCGTTTTCTCACGTCTCATTAGGAGTGCCTGTTTCGATCCCATTAATAAACTTATTCCGAGTATTTATTCAGGGCAATTAGTAGGTTCCCCCCCCCCCCCCCTTCGCCCCCTTTACATTGGAGGGCAAGGCGAATCTTCTCTCTGAAGAGTCATCTTACGACCTCCAAACTCGAATCGATCGGATGACGCTATGTTCTTGCGCTAAATTTCACTAATATCGCTCACTCATTCCCGGTTTTGCATTTTTATTATTTATTCTTTAATTAGAAAACTACATAACTTTTTAAAATAAAACTTTGGACTCGTGGGGCGAAAACGATGCACTTTGGGCCGATTGTATGAACAATGTTCATTTTAAACATTGATTATCGATAGTCATTGTTTAAACATTGCCTATGAAAATATCAGTTAACCGCTGCCTACTTCGATTGCGTGAACGACCTGCAAGCCATGATTTCATAGCCGACGGTTAGACGGTGGTTAACATCCCTCGTGGTATATAACTTGGCATGTTCTGACTTCTCGGCCGTCGCGTGATACAATTTCGCAAAAAATGGGCGATCGAGTGAAAAAGGAGAACCTTTCCTTTGACGTTAAAAGTACATTCGCAGAGCTTGTAAAGAAGAATCTCGCGATAGAGAGAGACATGATGGACTTTCCTTGTACAAGAATAACCACGCCTGGAAACTGGTGAGTTCTCGCTAACCCTACTCTGTATTTCAAGGTGCTCTTTCAGGGGAAACGCCAAGGATTCGTTTTGCACCCAAAGAGAAGTCAGAAATGTAAAAATAGGTGCATTATTTGTACATGAAGAGTGTATGGTGAGGATATCCGAGAATCGTGTGTGGATCCTGGTCACGTAGAGACTAAGTCAGTAAAAATCCCTTTCGCATCACACACTGCTTGGACATTGATGGAATAGAAGCCATTGCAGTTGGTAAAGTTGGTCGGGCATTCTATTCGAGTGTGACAGCCGTCAATGGCACTGATCATTCCTGGAAATCCAACAATAGCAACTAATTGTCTTGGAACATCTGCTCCGATTCTCCTCTTGAGAATGTAATGAGCTGGGGACGCATATGAGCCTGTGTCATTCGAGTTCTAGGAATCGATGCCACATAAAATCGAAGAAGCAGCAGAACATACAAATCGAAAGGCTTTCATGACATTCTTTTCACTTTCGGGTCACATTTAGTGATTACTCAATAACTCAGAGGATGAGTATGTGAATAAATTACATTTCATTGCACATAAACCGTAATGGCTCTTATCTGTTGATGAACAGTTAAGGGGTCCCTTCCGCGATTTTCACGTTCAGGGCGAAGTAGGTCGACCAAATCATTCACGGATCCCTTTCCAAATCGGTATCTCACGCGGTATTCTCGTCGACATATTCTTCAAAGGGAATAAGCCTAGAACTGATGTTTATTTGCCCCACCCGACAACAAGCACATCGCTGATAACTAGCCACTTCATAAAGATAATCCATTGTGCTTCACCAGTACACTGCAGCGCTCTACAGATCGAGATAGTACACGAGCGCTGGCCTGAATATCGGCAAAAAAATACCCCATCCCTTGTCTGGAAATAACACCTTTTTCAGCTTCGGTTAGCCATTGGCTTGACTAGGGGTGTCAAACTCAAATCTGTCGGCGAGCCGCATTCCTTACCCTGCAGATGTCTGCCGGCCGCATCCATAATTTATCACCGAAATTTGTTTTAACAGTCAATCCAAGAGGAAATTTCAAGAACAGACAGCAGACCGGATGAACCACCTTTTCGGGCCGTATCCAATCAGCCAGTATGTTTGACACCCCTGGGTTAGACAATGACTAAAGGAAGAAAGCGTTCATGTAATCAATTTTTGGCCTTAGATATTGGCTAACCAATGATTTTCGAAGAATAAACGTCGTTCATGCAATCGGCCCTTCATTTCCCAGCGCTGGTTAAAAATTCGACTCGGTTGTGATAATTTCTGAGGACGTTGGAAACTTATTCCCGAACGTATCCGGAGCAAATGGGAGCCTAGATACCCAAGTAACACAAGATATTCCAGCAACGTTTAGGAAATGTTAGAAGCAATGTTATATCAATGTTGTAGATCAACTTGCAACATAGAGCAACATAGTCAACATTTCGGAAACGTTTCATCAACATACTGTGTTACTTGGGATGTTAGGAGCGTCCTTTAGGGACCCTCTTGCGTCACGCATCTTCGAACGAGGCGAATCGTCATCTTTCAGGACGATCTCGACCGCAACCCATGGAGAACCAGGACCTCCCTCCGGTACTGGAAGAGTACGGAGGCGCAAGGCCATCCAGCAGACGGTGCTTCTCCGAGCCGCCCCCGTTGGATCGGAAGGACGGCAGGAGGAAGAAGAGGCGGGCGTCACCCTCCTTGGAGGACGGGAAGACGACGAAGCGGATGAAGGGGGAGGATGTCGCAGGGGAGGCCGGGAAGGAGACCGACTCCGATGAGGTCGGCGAAGACGAGGCCTTTTTTGGAAAGCTGCCTTGTGGGACCTGTAGATGCAGAACTTTTTTTTTTCCTTCAGGGCGGACGAAAAGGCGAAGGAGACGAACTCGACTCGAAGGCAGAGAGTGGAAGGGCCGAGTCGGCTGTGATCGACGTCGTCAAGGACTCGGGCGAGCGCCAGGGCATCGCCGAGGAAGAAGACGAGGCAAGCACGTCTTCGTTCTCCGCGCTCTGTCGTCTGCTGACCTGCACTTTGCATCTCTCCTTACCCCCACAGAGTCCATCACGAACCGATTTCGCAGCAGGTCGATGATAATGGAGTGTAAAGGACGATAACAATAGTGTGAGATTCGGACATACTTGCAACAGGGTTGGGGGTTGCTATTGACGAAATTTTTTTTTTCAATCAAAATTTTGGGTCTCGTGAATTTTGAGTAAAAGACCGAGGAAAGTAGCGACCCTGGAATTGGTTTCTCGGGACCTGACCGAGCTTTCCCCTCTCGGATTGCAGGTGAAGGGCGGAGGAGGGGACGAAGCCGACGCTCCACCGGGCCCCTTCGTTCAGGTGACTTCTCGTTCGATTCTGGTCCTCGGTCCCGAGTTTCTCAGAGCCTTACCGGATATCGGGAGCTCGAGACGGGGCCTTCAGAGTTGAGGTAGTGCCGGGATGAATGCCGGTGGGAGGGCAGTCCATCCTGGGGCTTCCGTAACTTCGGGCGTCGTTCTGCGGCTCCTTTCGAAATCGCAGCCACGAACGGACGACGTCTTAAAATGTTAATTGGTCCGCAAACTCCCCCGACTTTTGCATCAGATTTGCCTTATTAGGAATATGAACAGATGAATGAACCGACTATGTCGGAGAAGTAACTCGGTGCTGTAAATCATCCTTCAGAAAACCGCATTTTCTTGGTCTCACAATGAAAATATCTGATAAGCAATCAAGAAGCCACAAATCTTTTCGTGAAGATTCTGATCTCGGCAATCAGAAAATTACGACCACTCAACGAAAATCCCGCTGTGTTCAGAGGCATTTGGGATTTGGGCAGCGATGGAATTTCTCGTTTCACCCATTCCCTTAGGAATTAGATTTTTTTAAAGGTATTCCGAAAAGGAAACCGAATTAAGAAATAAGGTGAAAAGACGCAACAACGAGTCAGTTCAGTTAAAAGTTATTGCTTATTACTGCTAAAAGTTACTAAGTAAGAAGAGCCACTAAGTATTACAGCTACCTGTCGAAGAATTGGGGGGGGAAGGGTGATCGAGTAAAGGACTTTTCACACTTGGTACGTCTCGCGTCCTTGACTTCAATGCTTGGGCAGGTTGACTGACGCACGCGTGCACACGCATGTCCACTTATAATATCCAAGGGTATAAACAAAATGCAAGGCTTGTGTGCGGTATCGAACTGATCCCAATTCCACACGCAAGCCTTGCGTTTTGCGAAAACCCCTGGATGTAAGTGGACGTGCGCGTGCACGCGTGCGTCTGCCTACCTGCCATAGCATTGATGCATAGGACGCGAGACACGCGAAGTGTGAAACGCCCTTAACTCCAGCCATGTAATTTATTAGCGTTTAACACGTTGACGACCAGCCTATTTTTGCTTGTCCGCCGCGTGGGACCAAGCGCATTTTTTTTGTCAAAAAATGCGTCCTGCCATCAGGACGCATTGTCACCCAAGCATTGAAGTCAAGGACGCGAGACGTACCAAGTGTGAAAAGTCCTTTACTCGATCACCCTTCCCCCCCCAATTCTTCGACAGGTAGCTGTAATACTTAGTGGCTCTTCTTAAGCCATCTTCCCTCATTGTTCATCCACGAATCCACGATGAATGGACCTTAGAATGCACAATGAATGGATCCATGATGAATGGTTCTCCTATTCAAACCCCATCGTTCGGAATCGGATTCCCCCGAACGGAAAATCCCGTCTTAGACGACTCCCCCCTGGCGACTCACCCTCTTCGGGAGACTTCTGTCGACTGCAATGTCCGCCGGCACTAGGATCCTTTCGACCTCTCGCGAGAACGGACGAAGTGGACTTTCTTTCCCTTTAAAGGTCGTCCACACCAGGGAAGTTTTATTGCAAAAAGAAAAAAATTTTGAAGGAAACCTTTCAAAGAAATTCTTCAGAGCCTCCAGAGCCACATCTTGCATATAAAACTTTCAAAGGCGTCCTCACCGTGAAAGTTTTCTTTCCCGGTCGACTCGCAAAGAGAAATTGCAAAGAAAACTTTCTTGGTGAAAACGAGCCTTCATTCGCAAAGACAAAAAAATGAAGCGCAATTACATGTATCACGGTCTACCGCATCCGCCAGCCAGACAAGGTCGCTTCTGCCTTAGCACTTTCAAGCTTGACGATTTGAATGCGCTAAGGGAGTAGGACGTCATACGACGGATATAGGCCCGAAAGTGTTAACGTATGTTAGTTGAGGCACTGCAAGGATTCCCACGCCGAAAGCGCTCTGCATCTAGGAGTGGGATCGGCCCTGATTCGCGGCGGGGAGGGGAAGGTGGACGAAACGAAAAGGTCAGTCGTCGAGACAAAGGGTTAGTGGCTTCCTTCCAAGGGGTTCGGTTCGGCTTCAGGTCCTGTCGTCTTCATTCCGGATCTGGCACGGCTCGGATGACGATGCCGACCGACAAATGGGGAAAAGTAGAAGGGATCGAGAGGTTTGGTTGGAAGATCTTCGTTGTTTGCCCCCCTGAGAGTTATTTACAAGTCAGACGATTAAAGCAGAAATTCGGAATGACAAAAGCTGTTGAGAACTAGCAGGATTCAGATGAGATTCGGATTTGTGATCTGCCCGAAGAGAGGCGCTCTTGGGTCTCCTTTCCACCTTGATGGCATGGGAAATCATGAAGGTAGATTTCCGAATAACCTGATGGTGGCTTATAAACGACGGAAAGATTGTACATTGTTTTAGGATTGAATACGTAAACCCCCCCCCCAAGGAGCACTTCTGTCGATTGCAGGTAGTGACACCTCCAAGGTAGTTTTGTATGATTTGATGAAGCGGATCCTTTGAATGTTGTCTTTTATTCATTCTCCATTATCCAAGGGGGGGGCTACGAATTGAATCCGAAACAGTGTAGTGGGGATGGAATCGCTTAAGTTAATGCGATGCACCCAGGTGGCGCGTTGGCTAGTTGCGGTTTTCTACAGGGGTTTACACTCGTAAGATAGGAGGATTATCCGATTCGATGGCAGGACTGAGATGGAGAATATATGATACACCCGCCTAGAATGATTAGTTGGGAGTTCTTTGTTCCTAAAGCAGCTTGGCAAAGGCGTCAGATTAGGGCAACCAAACGAGAATACTTTACATGACGGAAAGGAGCTTATTGGATCTTTGTAAGCAGGCGATACTGTGTGCCCGGAAATAAAGAAAAAAAAAAAACAACATTGCGGTACTTCTCAGATGATGATCATTCAAGATGCGTCAGACTCTCAAGAAATCAGGTGTGGCACTCCCGTCCGCGGCATCTTGGAAGAAATCATACATCGAGTCCCCGAGAAGAGTCAGGACCCGCCTCCCCTCGAACGGATTCTCTCCTCGTGTGCTGGGCCGGAGCCTTCCTTCGAGGACGAGGTGCGCCTGTCAGAGACCGGGGTCGACGAGGGCGAGCAAGTCATCGGGGACGATTCTCTCGACATCCAGCTGCGTTGCTTCGATTCTCAAGAGGATGTGGGGGTGAAAGGAGCCGAGTCCTCGGAGGAGGCCTCTGGTGGATTCGCGGGAGTCCTGGAGGAGGGGGCGGAGAGTGCTCGGGAAGAAGGGGATGGGGCGGGGTGCGCCCGTTCTCACGAGGTGATGCCTCCCTTCAACAATCTGGAATTGCTCAGTCAGATCGTTGACTGTCTTAGTGTCATCAAGTAAGGCTCATTTCGTCTCGGCGAGTCTTATTGCATGGGGAGCTTCTTCGAGAGGATCCACCAACGATTATTCAGGATTCTTTCGATGCATGATTGCATGGGCTGTGTTCGAGTGGCTTCATTTGCATGATTACCACGGGACACACGATCTATCTCTGAGTCTGAATGCTGTAGTCTTGAGAACGTGGGGCAATCGGGTTTTTTACTTCCATCGCTGTCGCCTAAAATAGCTTCTCAACCTGTGGCTTCTTGATGCTGGCTTCCCCTTCAGTGCTCAGGGCTGATATTTCCATCCGATGCTGATTCGGCCTTCTACTATGGAAGTGCTCGTGGAAGTTCCATGCCGCATCTGCTGTGATTTAAAAAAATAGAAGTGGTTGCAGTCCGGAAACTACCGTGAATGTTTATAATTGTGGCATAATTATTTGGTTATGATTTATAGGTGAATGGCAAATCAAAAAAATATCATGCCAAATATTTTGCTCAATCTACTTGACGAAAAAGTTCAAACCCAGAACCTGTCCCACATAATCCTAAAATTAAATTCGCATCAAAGTTCTAACTTCGAATCGAGTCAGCTCCATTGTTTTAAAAATCTCGAAATGAGTCACTCCTGTCTAAAAATACTCTAGCGATATCGACAGCGAGTGACGAATCTGAACAACAGCAAAAAAAAGTGGAATCCCATGGGCAAAATCACACATTTTTCATTTGCTTTCCGTTGTTTTTTTTTCTCTTTCATGACAGCAATGAACTAGCCGCTCTCCGCACGGATCTCAACACAGGAAACTGATTTGCATCGTGACTCAAGCTGCTGATCCTTTCATCCTTTGGTCTCTCTGGATTTTGTTTTACTGGACTCCCCAGAAGTTATGGCTTTGTGTTGCGGGACATGGTCTCAGAAGAAAAATTCTTTTTTTTTTTAAACTCCGTTCGTAAGAATAAATTTTCATGCGGATGCACATGACTTTTTTTTTTATTATTTTCTACTCGTTTCGCTTTGCTCTTTGTCAGCAGACTGACCATCCATACTGTTGCAGTTGATCCAGTTCCAAGGAATCATAATGTTGGGAAATTCTGCTGTCAGATGGTCTGCTCAAAATACAGTACATAGACGTAAAATAGTACTGCTTTCACTTCTTCCCATGATCCAAAGTTACTGACATTGATGTGCATTTGAATTCCAGATGCATTTTCATGTACAGAACATGGAACAGAATACAGTATTGCCTCATCACATGAACTAAATTTTCTATTTTTTAAAGTTCTTTTCGGTGGTGGGCGAAGCCAAATGGAAAATAAACTGGAATTCCATTTCAGGATTCCGAATTTCTGGGGAGTAATTTAAATCACATTTGAATTATAGGGGACTCGGATTCAAATTTCTCATAAGAGATATTTCAGAAGTTTATGAATATTTTAAAGGCCTTTTTCCCCGCTGCAATTAACCAACGTATCGGCAATGAATGATACACACCTTCAGAATTAACTATTCATTTTCCATTGCCTCAACAGTAAGAGTTTCCTGGGAATTCTCATTTTGACGGGATTTAAGTGCTGTTTGGAAAGCCAAGGTTTGAATCTTCAAAGAAACGGAAGGGCGATTCTAAAGGCTCGTTTCGACTAGGAGAGATTCACGATAAAAGAACGAAATGAGCCAGGTAGAAACGCTCGGCCCGAGGGAGCTTGTCCTCCCCCCAGCTCTCCTCTCCGCTCTACAATCCTGTGTGCGACTGCATATAGCAGTGTGTGTGATGTGTTACCTGCCTGGAGAAGGGTTTGGCGTCTGAGAGGGCAGCTAAATGGGAAATCACGTTCTGGGAGACCCGGGGTCCGGGGAATTTCTCCCAGTCAAAACGAAGCTTAAGATTCAACATCAAATTTCAATCTTACATATGCTGTGGTGAGAGCCGATCTGGGGCAGTAAAAGAAAAAAAAAACTATCTGATGGGCACATAGTACACTTCACCGTGCGCCTTCAGGTAGTCCCTCAATGATATATATATTTTCTCCATTATTATACTCCATACAATTTAGCAAATCACATCAATTACGCTCTACGCTCGATTAGGCATTAGTTTTTCAAACGCGAAAATTAGAAGTATGGGAGCAGTGTTTCCTTTCTCTCGGTGAAAGTTTGTGGGAATGTCGTTCCTGCATAATCTCACCTCTGCTCGTATGAATAAAGGATTTCAGATTCTGGTATGAATTTTCTTCTCTGAAAGAAAACATTTCTGCTGATGAATTTGGATCTCTCTGTTACGACTTGACTTCTTTTATACTTGACCCGTTCATTCCCAAATTATGATAGAACATGGAGAGGAAATGTAAGTCTTACTGAAAAATATTTTTATTTACGGAAAATTGCATTTCTAATGAAACCAGCAGCATGAAAATACCAATTGTGAGCACTCTCCCTACTTCTTCCTTTCTCAATAGAGTGGAAAACATGAATTAGGAAACTGGGACGAGTGCAAGCAATTCATTTCCATATTGAGAACTCTCATTGCTCAACTGCCTTACTCGCCATGACACTGGGATTTTTAATTTCTTCGCCAAGGGCTTCCAGGACTTCACGACGATAGTCATCGAAGTCTCCATCTATTTCACTGATGTTTTGATCTTCGATGATCCAGAGCTGACATTCCGTGTCTCGAATGAGTCTTTCGTCGTGACTCACAATGATGACTCCTGTGTCAGAGAGCGAAATTCTCGAATTGAATTTCCATCTAAATGACATGGAAAAAAAACATGAAATACTCACCTCCATGGTATGCATTGATTGCCTCGGACAAGGCATCGATGGACTCTATGTCGAGATTGTTTGTAGGCTCATCCTAATGGAATGGGGAGAGAGTGCAAGATTAATATGACAGATAATCCAAAATAAAGCATCCTTTTGCTTTCTCACACAGGATCAATTTAGTTTGCTGCCTTTTGCAGATGAACAATTATTTCCAGATGCTTTGGAAGATAGAAAAGGCTATAGACATGCCTCACTACATTTAGCAGCATGCAGGGAAAATTGAGACTTACTTGCAAGAATGACTTCACTACAAAGGGCATTTGCTGGTAGATCAATTAAGACATACAAACAACACTTGTTGAAGTAGAGTGTTTACATAAAAGGGAGGGTACATGAAAGAATATCAATGACCAGGCTAGGAGCACCCCTGTTAAATTCCAGTTTAGCTCCACCACTGAATAAATTATCCTTGTCCTGAAAAAACTCAGTCTAGATACACAAAACTTACACGGCATAGTATCTCTGTCTTTTGCTTTGCACCATTACAAGATGTATGGTAGATGATGGCTGTAAGGGCAGCCTTCAGGAAAGGTGTGAAGAGATAAAATTATAAGTCTCAAATGTTGGTGCTGACTTTGGTATCGTATAAACTCCTTGGTATCTCACAAGATGAAGAAAGTAAAATAAATAAAAATGCTAAAAGGTCCCATGTCACAGTTAGTTTGTTTCACAGCTGATGTGCACTCACCAAGATGAGAACATCTGGTGCATTGAGTGTAAGTTCAGCCAGTGCCACCCTGGCTTTCTGACCTCCACTCAGATCCTTGTTTTTGATAGTATGTGCATATGAAGGGAGACCAAAACTGCCCAACTGCTTCCTTCCTTTCTCATATTGAAGGTCAAACAAGCGTATCAGATACTCTACAGGAGACTCCTCAGCTGTCAGATGTTCACCAGAGTGCTGATCAAAGCGTCCTATTCTCTGAAAATAAATTTTGTGGGAAATCAGACACATTATGAAAGAAAAGTGTCAATATTTATCAAAAGAGAAAAACTGATGTCTTACAAGACGATGGTTCTTGCGAATTTCCCCTTGCTGTGGGGTGAGGTCACCAACCAGCAGCTTGATAAATGTTGACTTCCCAACTCCATTTGGGCCTACTATGGCTACTCTACTCTCCATGCCAATGCCAAAATCCAAGTTTTTGAAGAGAGGTTTCTGATCTGGGTATGCAAATATAACATCTGGAAAAAAAAGGACACAAAGTCTATAACTTTTGGTAATATCCAAATTGAATTTTAATATGATGTTGGAGAAGTTGAAGGCAACCCATTTGATTCCTTACATACATATGCTAATTTTATATCACTCTAATCTGTTTCCTATGGTTGATTCCCAGTGAGATAAAGAGAATTTACTTTCAAAAGGAAGCCATGACCAGTATACATGAGAGATTGCTTCTGTTTTGGTGACATTCGTGTCTATACAGGGTTATAGCATCCTGGTTTGAAGGCTTTACAGCTTTATCAAAAAGGCACATGTTCAAAGTTGGCACCAATTATGATCACTGCAAAATGTCTAGAGCACCTATTTTGGAGCAATGGAGTAGATGTCAGAGAAAGTAGGCTTCTCTATAATTTTCCAATATTTCACTCAATAAATCACCAGCCATATTGAGGTGGACTAGCACTGTGACTCCCATGTAGGTGGTCAGATGTATTCTTACACCATTGAGCTGAAGAGTGGGAGAGGACAACAAAAAAGAAAAACTCTCACTGTGTGCCCCTAGAATAGGTGGCTGCAAGGGAGGAGGATCGGGGAAGCGGAATTTCACAATGTATTCTCTGGGTTTTTGCAGAAGCTCTGTTAGTCCTTGGGTGTCATCAGAGTCTTTCTGCAGCCTTCCCCGGTTCTTCTCTTGTTTTCGTGTGAGAGCATCTTTCTGCTTCTTCTCCTGCAGGAGTAGTGACTGGTGAGGCCATTTTCTCATAAGAGAACAATTTTTAATATTCTGTTCAAGTTGTAACTGACCGCCTGCTTTGTAGACTGGCCTCCCTTCTTCAATTCCTTGAGACGCTTCTCCTGCTTCTCATACTCTTTGATCATCTCCTTCCTTTTGGCAACATACATTTTCTTGAAGGCAGAGTAGTTTCCCTTGTAATAGAAGAGCTTCTGTTGATCCAAATGGATGATATCAGTGCACACGTTATCCAAAAAGCTTTGGTCGTGAGACACAATCAGGAGAGTCTTTCTCCAGCCCTGCAGATAACTGATATGGGAAAATTGAGATTCAGTATCAAGTGAGCCATAAACCTATACATGTGCATTTCATCAAGCAATCTGAGTATCTGAAAAACATCTTTAAGGTGTATTCCTCATAACAACCACCCCCCATTGCAGTACAACAGGACAAAGACAGTATGATTACAGGCAAGCCTTATGCTAAATGAATTTTAAAAATTGACTCTTCATACTTATCCAGCCAGATGACAGCATTCAAATCCAGATGATTTGTTGGTTCATCAAGCAGCAGGAGAGTGGGTTCAATGAAGAGTGCCCGGGCAAGAGAGACACGCATCCGCCAACCTCCAGAGAAGTTCTTTGTGGGCCTATTCTGCATGCTTTTGGTGAAACCCAGACCAGCCAAGATTCGTCTAGCCCTTGGCTCTGCTGAATCTGCCCCTATTGCCTTCAGCTCATCATACACCTATATATATGAGGAGATTTCCAATATCAACTGATCTGTGACTTAAAAGTAACACAGAGCCCTTGGGATTTTTGTTCAGCTTAAATGCCTACATGTTTTAGCTTCTCCGCAACCTTGGTATTCCCTTTTTCTTGCTCTATTTCAAGCTGCTTTGCTTCTTCAAGAAGCTGAGTTCTCTTCTCATCAGCCTTCAACACAACTTCAACTGCAGGTGTGTCATCAGCAACCACTTCTTGCTCACAGTACAGGACATCTATGGTTGCAGGGATGTTCAATGCTTTTGAGGCAATGTGACGCAGAAGTGTGGTCTTCCCATGCCTGCCAATGTAAGACCATTTGGAATTTAAGGGAATATCAAGACTTAGAACAATCAAAATATTTGCTTCTGGGAAACGTGGAAGCATGCACTAGAGCATTCATTCCAATTCATACATAAGCAGAAAGGTATAATTCACAACATGAACTTGAAGGCTTGATTGCAAGGTAACAGGAAAGCAGTGAACATACCCATTTGGACCTACTAAGCCGTATCTTTTCCCTTGGGCAATGAGAAGTGAGGCGTTCACAAATAAGTCTTGTCCACGTGCTGAAATGCTGAAGTTGTCTACCTTGATGTCCACAGCATTATCCATTTGAGAATCTATTATTTTTCGCCCTGATGTCCTGTCTGCTTGGGAGACAGTAAAGTTCTCTCCCAGCTCTGTCTGCCCTGTGCCACCCTTCTTCGTCAGAGCTTCCATTTGCCGTTCAAACTCCATCTAAGAAGACAGAGAAATGTTCTATATATCCTCTAGATCTCGCACATGCAAACCCATTCAATAATGTTGTGCGTGTGTTTTCTCTGCAATGAAGGAAGAGCTATATCAGCCAAAAGTCAGGGACAAGGGGCAAATTCAAAGCATCTGGTTGAAAATAATGGTTCCCCACAGCTAGCAAATGAGAAGGATGTTCATTTAGGACCACTTGTGATGTTTTTGGCAAGGATAATATATGAACAGAGGGTGAAAGAAAGAGCACAAGTTCAAAGCCTTAGTTTCTCAAGGATTGAAAGTTCTCCCTTGGAGTGAATCTGAGCTCTTGTGAAGGTTCATCCTGGGAAAGCCCAAGGACTTCTGAGGAAGACCATCCCCCAGAGATTCCAATGGAACTAAAGGATATTGCTCCAGATGACATTATTGATGAAAAACAGGATTTGAAAACAAGAGAATATGGACCAAAAACATGTGATGGAAGCAATTGATAGAGATTGATATAAGGTGCATGATGAGAAATAGACTAGGGTGGGTCAAAAACATTCTTCTTATGAGGAGGATTCTCAGTTTTTAAATTCCTTTTTTAACCTTAATGGTTCTTGTATGTTTAAAATGTCAAAATTTTCATAATTTTCAATTTTTAGTTCCATTTAGATGCCAATGATGCCTTTTCAACCTCTGGAAGATGAATGTTACACTTCTTTTCTTTATTGAGTGCCTGATTCAGTTCATGGAGAGCCTTGTCTGTATCTTGTGGCTCAAGCTATTACCTTACCTTTTAGGCAGAGATCTGACCCAGTGAAGCAATGGAATGGATTGAGTGCCATAAATATCAAGCATGACAAAAAGGGCAATTTGTGGACACCAGTTTGATGCAAACAGGAAGCAAAATGCAATTGTCAGTTTTGAAGCCAGCAAGCTCTCCAAGAATATGAACAAAGTGAGAAATAATACTTCCTATGCAGGTGGTCTTAGAGAACTGTGCACACTGAGCTTGGCCAAGAAATGCATTAAAAAATTTGCAAGTACTTATGCTTAGTGCTGTAATATATTCCATGGCACCATGTATATTGGGCATACATAGCATCACAAACTCAGACAAAACACAAACTGAACATACACGTTAGCATGTATCTGGTCATACATTACTACATGCTTGATCACATACAAGGATCCATATATCACTAGTGCCAAATTCCAATCATGGCACATCATATTTCTCCTTCAGACCAAACAAATGTTATAGAAAAAGTCTTACAACACCAAATATGGAATTACAGAAGGGTGGAGTGTAAATTTGGTCAGCCAAGTAGCCTCTCAATGGTAGAGCTAAAAAGCATCAATAAATATATCCTACAGAATATATTTTCCTGCTCAATTTTCAGCCTACAAAACATGGAAAATTAAAGAAAAGTGGAGCACAAAAACTTGTCAGCCCAACAGTCCCATAATGAATCATGAAAACTGATTCAACAATTTTTTTCCCCAGTATCATCACATCAAACACCAGCAAAATAAACTTCCAGTGATACCTGGAATAAGGGCCAATACCTTATGCAATTGATAATGCTATTACATCTCTGGGGATTAGGAACAGCATTGCACTATGCCATAAATTATGCATGAAGAGATGACTGGTTAGAATCATTGAAAATTGTTAGGCCCACTCACTTGCTTCTTCATCTTCTTCTTCTCCTTATGACTTAATTTTGACTTCTGAAGAGCATCACCACCTGCATCCAAAGATTCTCCATTGTTTATGGCATCTTCTGTCTTGCCAGTGGTGGCAGAGTCCAGAGCTGCATCATCATCATCATCAAGGGTCATGTTCTCAAGATCTTCTTCTAGGTCTTCTTCCCCACCATTTTTGGGTGAAGCCTTTGTGTTCGACTTCGCCTTCCATTTCTTTGGCATGTTATTGATTTTGAAGAACCATATACTGAACCTTTTTTTTTTTAGAAAAAAAAAAATCAGCTAGATTCAAGTTGAGGATTGCATCATTTCATGCCTTTTGCTACAAATGAATAGCTCAAATGAGCATGAAATATATTAACATAGTATGTTTATGGGAAAAAAAGAAAATACAATAAGATAAAGCACAGAATATGCAAACATGATCCTGAAAGGAAGACTAAACTAGTAATTTTAGATGGTTCAGAATCTTTTATGAGGGAGTACATGTCCCAATACAGGAACAATTATCAAGGACAAGATGGGGTAAGGGGGGGTAAGCAGTGCCAAATAGCACAGCACTTCAAAGTCAATCTTGCTCCAGTAATCAGAGTTGCAACAATCTACCACAACATTGAACGCCGATTGTTACCAAGTGGCTAAATCCAGAGCTCCAGAAAACATGCCTGTTTCTTAATTCAAGGCAGGGGTCAATTTTAGGTTCCAAATCGTGCATGGTCGACTATCAGGCAAATTTGCACATTTCAGGGAGAAAGCTCCATTTGGAATTCGATAGCCGCAATTGGGTCCAGCGGAACTTTACGTGGTGCACTGCGAGAAAAGGAGTTATTTTCTGCAATCAAGCCGAGCTATAGCACGGCACCAAGTCCCACTGTCCATGGTTATCAGGCATGCCACGTCGTAGTCCGCACGTGAAATCATCACGGGTGCAACGTATCCAGGCCGCCGCCATACTTGAACTCTCGCGCGTGCGCTTCTTCCAGGGATCTGCGTGTTGTGAAACCACTCTCCCGCCAGTCTGACTCAGAGAGACCTTTAAGAGCTCTTCAAAGAGCTCAGGCCGAGCCCCAGTTAATCGCGATGTTATAGTAACTTCTGATGTTGCGCGGTTTCTAAGTGCTCACGGCAGTAAGGCGACAGTTGCTGCACGTGGAAGCCTCTTGGATACAGGAGGGAGCCATGATTCAGAGCGAGTTGTTGAAGGGGCTTTCGTCTGTAACCGGCAAAGCCTATGTTCACCAATGCATTACGGCATCTGGATCTGCTTAAATTGTCCTTGCAGCTGCATCCATTGGCATATCCGTGCTATTTTTCCCTTCGGATCTGACTTGTTTGAATAGAACCCACAATCATATCGTGTACGGGTTCGGAAAGCCTACGACGGAGAAATACAGCACTCATGGAGTAAGTTTAGCCTAGGTTATTATTTTGGGGGGAGGGGAAGGTGTAGGAAATCGCTTCAAGATGCTGTATGTAGAGGGGGATGGAGGTGAAATACGCGGCGAACCAGCCACCACGCTGGCGTCAGCATGAGAAAGAGCAGCCGCTTTCAATGATGAGGCGTCTGTGATTGGCTGGGCTAGTTCGTAGGTGCTGGTCACCTGATGAAACTGCACGAGTGAGTGGATTCAGATTGACTTTATACATTTTAAAATTTATTTTTTGCTTTTTCAACTTGAGTTTGTATGTTGTGTATTTGGATGAACTAAGTTTTTTTTTTACATAATAAAATGTATCTGAATAAACCGAACAGATTTTGCTATGGATATTTCAATCCAGGTTTCATTTGAATTCTAAAAGTACAAACTGAATCAGGAAATGTGTGAAAAGTCAGACCAAATCCACTGTAGCCCTTTCATTGATGCCCTTGCCCATATGTCAGTAGTGTAAATATCCACTGCCCTGGTACTGAATAGGTCATGCCTTGACTGCTCTCTGACCTTGACTAACATTTGACCAATAGCACCTTTAGCATATATTAATGATAGTCATGTCTGACAAGCTGCTTTTGGGTCAAAATTGCATGTCCTCCCCTTACAGTTTTGGACAAAACAATTTCCACAGGATCTGTTTTATCAGAAATTCTCTAAACCACCAGTGTAGAAGATGTCACTACCTGCATTAGATGAAAGCACCTCTATGGGGGCTACGAATTGAATCCAAAAAAATGTTTTTCATTCTCTGGTTAGGCCTACCCCTGTTGCTATCTATGCCCAAAAGACATGTCATTCTTTCCTGTGATCTGATATTTGGCTTGTGAAGAATTCAGAAGATGTAGTCTTATGCTACAAACTTTCTAAGTGTTAGTAATCCTAGGTGCATAGGGGCCTCATGTTTGTTTTTGTAAACTTAATCCTATCCTACTTAATTTGCCCCTGGCAAATAGCAAGTAAGTCTTTAGGATGGGCCCAACCTTTATCTTTCATATCTCCAAATAAGCAAATAATTTTTGGTGACACCCTGGGATGGCCTAAGCATATGATAGCATGATAGTCAATTGATAGCCTACTTTAGTGCAGATCCATAGGGTAGACTACAAGGCTTCAGCCCTCTACCTAAGCAGTTTTTTTCTCACATAAGCATAACTCCTTCAGGTAAGGAGGACAGGATTATTGGAGGAATAACATCTTTCCATTGTAGCATAAGGAAGCACTGCATTTAACTCTTGCATCAAAGACTAAATTGAGTCTAGTTTTGAATGGTATCCCTAGAAAAGCTTGGCAACTATGATCTCAGGTTTCTTGCATTTAGGGAGGTGTCCAGGAAAGCACTTATTAAAAAAGGTCCATAGATGAGGGGAAAATATTTCCAAGATCCTCGGCCTAGTATACCTTCAAGGGCCTAATATTTTTCTCTCATCTATGGACCTTTTTTTTAATAAGTGATAAATATACATCATATAGATATATGACCACTCCCATCTCTCTCCAGGAAAGCCAACGGAACCACCAAAATTGGACTTGACAATTCAGGAGGCATACGAGGTGTGGCTATTATGTTTCCAGACTGGTTTTATTGCTGAACTTTGAGAGAGAGGAGGGGAGTGGGGCTATGGCAGTAACACGGAGGGGAGTCTTAGCTTATAGCTGGGCAAGTTTCAGTGTGGTCTGACCAGCGCTCTGCGAGCTGCGGCCAGTTAAGATAGACCGTATTTGTTTGCGCTGGCGGATTTGAAATGGAGCATAATCTCGAGCAGAGAACTAACGTCAAATTTTGTGTTAAACTGGGAAAATCCGCAACTGAAACGCTCGAAATGTTAAGAAAAGTTTATGGTGATCATACTATGTCAAGAGCGCAAGTTTTTTTGTGGCATAAAAGGTTTAAAGAGGGAAGAGAAGACGTCAATGACGACCAGCGTTGTGGAGCGCCAATCACCAAACGAACACCTGAAAATGTCTCAAAAGTTACGGATTTAGTGCGTTCAGACAGGCGGTTGACAATTAGAATGATAGCAGAAGAGTTGAATTTAGATAAAGAAACTGTTCNAAGGCCATCGATTTCAAAGCATTGAAGACATTCAAACAAATGTGATGCAGGCTCTGAAAGACATCCCGAAAGAAGCCTTCCACCGCTGTTTCCAGCAATTGCAGCATCGTTGGGATAAGTGTATACGTTCTGGAGGGGAGTACTTTGAAGGCGATAAATGTGATTAATTTGTAAGTTTAAAAGTAAAAAATACAAAAATAAAGTCTGGAAACTTAATAGCCACACCTCGTACATGCAGTACTTTTTTTTAAACATGTTAGGAACATTTTTTTGAAGCATTCTGCATTACAATGGCTGTCAAAAAAGGATGACTTTGCTCACAAATTTCTCACATCTGGAATGATGCATGGAAACCCTTGTCATTGATATTTCTTACCTTGAAGTTACTGGAGTGGACCTAAGTTAAGGTGTATCTCTCAGATGTTGAAAGATAGATACAGCCTCACCTAGGAGTTATTAATAATTTAGTGAGGAAAGGGGTAGGAGTAGACTTACCAGCTGTAAAAGTGAGGAAGGAGTAGTAAAATCATTTGACCAAGTGGTGTCTCCCTGGATAGGTGCACCCCAACAAGCAGACCTTGCTCCACATTACCCTCAAAAATCAAGAGGTGTATTCCCTAGTCATTTGACCTGATATGGCCCTGATTGACAGCAAAGTTGTTCCTTTGCTTGTTTGGCATTCTTTTGGAATTTGATTAAATATGTTATACTAGATCTGACTACTTTTTGCAACCAGAGCTCGATGCTAGAATGCCCAGGTAATAGAGTCAACAGTATATCTGAATTCAAACTCTCATAGATATTATTTATCATGCCTGTCTTGTTCTGTGACTCTTTGGTTTGTTTCAAAAAGCTAATTTTCTTCAAATCTTTAGATTTTTAGAAATTATTGAAAAAAGGAAGTGGGACTGGCATTCAGGAGCATATTAGTACCCTTTAATTTCTATTGCAATTTTTTTGTTGCATTATATGGTAGTCTTATGCCTATCATTGTTTGACTGGGTTCTATATTCATGATAGGCCAGCCTCTTGTAAAGTCATGGATAATCCAAACCTATGAATATTGATATTTCATACAATATTTGATGTCTGATGTTGGAGTTCCATAAAGGTGAATATTTTCTATTACATGGCTGGTTGAAACTCCTATCTGATGCTGATTGAGTTTATAATTTTTTTTATCTTGATCTCCTTTGTGCACATAGATGAGTGTCACAAATGCTTATCCTTTTGGTTTTTTTGTTCCATTTGTTTTTTTTTTTTTTACCATCAGAGAAGATTATATATTGCATGTAAGTTTATGGTAGGCCTAGGCATAAAAGAGTGTCATAGCTGCTTAAACTATTTTTTACCTCATTCTTCAGGTATAGACAGAACATTATAGCTACCAGCCTCTCCTGGGCTGTGTATGGTTAGTTAGTGCATCACAGTCAATAGTGGGCCTACTTCAGGAATATGGCTCAACCAAGGAGAAATGTGACTAGTGAAGACATTGTTTCTGCACATGAATCTGAGAGAGAAAGCCTGCTTGATGGTGGGGATGATGATGATTTCTTCTTGAAGGGTCCAGCTCCCAATCCCATTCCTCTTGCAGGAGCCACAAAGCTTAGCCAGTAAGTCTCATTTCTCTAATTGTTATGCTTCACTGACTGTTTAGCTTCCATGAACAATTAGAGCAAAGCAATAAGTGGGGGCACTTCATTTATTTGTATACGTATATGTGCCAGATTACCATTTGACTGTACTGCTCATCCTCATAATCCCTATGGATGAGTTGTTTAGGCCACTCAATTGTCTCATAAAGCCATCACTTGACCATTCCATTCACTGGTCAATTTGACAAGGTCTGTGAGAGTGAATACCAAGCCAATATTAACTCCATCCTGTGGTTGGCCCAACTACATGCATCCACTTTTGGTTAAACCCAGCTCACCTTTGATGACTTCACCAGAAGCTTGCTTATGATCACGTTAATCTCAATGTAACCCAACAACAGGGGCTTTCTGTCATATGGTCCAAAGCTCAAGCATGCTAACCCATGTTGCTAAGGTTTTGGTTTTCTCAAGCTCTTAGCTAGAGTAAACTTGGACACAGGTTGTGGAAATTTTGCTGTTTCATACCACTTAACTACCAAGAGCCCCTCTGCAGCTGGCATTTAGATAATTTGTGTAGACACCAAGAAATTAGGGCATTCTGAATTGGTCTATACAAATGCCAGATTATCATTATTCCCAGCTTGAAAAGAAAGTTAAGGTTCTTTTGCTTGTTCTTGCTTGTTCTTGCCTTCTCTTTCTCTTAAAATTCCAATTTTATTTTAAAGTTAACATTGTTTTTTATTACTGAAATTCCCATCGTTCGTTGAGAGTCTGGTCTATTTTAGAAGTGAAAATATATGTAAATCCATGTAAATGTCAATATTATATGCATATCAGGTGTCCATAGGAAAAAGGCTCTGAGATACCAAGTTTGGAAGAATCCATCAATTTCCAATGTTAACTTCTCATGGAATCTTCTTCTTTTCTCACCCTACAGTGAATAATTGTAACCGGTAAATTGTTTTACTGCATCTCTGGGAATCAGATAAATACCAAATATGAATTGTCTTGTAAGCATATAGACTTGGCATCTGGCTCTTGTGATGACCATAGTAGCATGATTTCCAAAATGTCTTTAATAAGGATTGAGTTAATTTATATGGGCATCATTTTTGTTCCTTGTTGTTTTACAGAGTCAAGTTGCAGGTGGAAGAAGTCACCAATGTCATGAGAGAGAATGTTTCAAAACTATTTGAAAGAGGTGACAGACTGGAGGAACTCCAAGGTCATTCTGCACAACTGTCAGAAGCATCGGACAGCTTTCGCACCTCTTCTATTCGTGTACGCAGGCGAATGTGGTGGCAGGAGTTGAAAATGAAAATATTCATCGGAGTATTCATTGCAATCATTCTCATACTTATTATTGGTAAGTACTACTTTCCCTTCAGGATACTTGCATCGTATTTTCCATTGACTCTTGAATGTACTGGATATGAGATCCAGCTTCATCATAAGCAATTTTGTTTTATCATACCTGAGGTACTTTCCCTGTATATACCAACCTTAATCTGTTGCAGCAAATTTGGATTGGAATTTCAGTTCCAGTGATGGGCACATCCCAAGCCCACATTGTGAGCTTTTCACAGGGACTTGAATCTCAGTCAAATGCCAAAATCATTTACTTAATTTGGGGATACAGTGAATGCAATCTCTTGATCCTGGCTGAAATCCTATTTTGGGAAAGGCACTTTAAACCTGCTCAGATATTCCATCTATTTAGGGAAGAATCTTTTCAGGTTCCTGCATAGTAATTATCAAAACAGGTAGTGTTTGGAATCTGCTGGCCTATGACTTGCATATTAAAAAATGATGCCTTAGCAATTGAATCCCAATATACAGTGTGGACTCCTGAACAAACTGGAAGTTTGTTATAAAAAATAAACATTTTTAGAGGTGTAGCTACAAAAGCTATAAGTTTGTTTTTAAATACCAATTTCAACCATCTACAAAACAATTTTTATTTCTCTAAGATTCTAGTGTTGCACTTTTAATCACTTTCATGAAAAGTTCTCAGCCATTACTTACCTTCAAATAATAATAAACAGAGAGCAGAAACAGTGGATTTACTGGGAGAAACTAGGCCAAAACCAGTGAAAAAGTGAAGAAAATGAATTTTCTGTTTGTGGTTCCATGTTGGTTTTGTTCAAAATGAACAAGTGACCAAAGAAAAGTATACTTTTCTACTACTATCCTGCATAGTTTAAACTTAGCAACTTATGTAGTTGAACCTCCAGAATTTTATCTTTTTGACAACCAACTTTGTGTCCACCCTGCAAAATACATGAAATGAAAAGATTACTAAAGGTTCAAAATCTTGGAGTCTTTTCCACATGAATTGCATGAATCCAGAGCACCTTAAAATCAGCAATAATTTAAATCAGACCAGGAATTCTCAAGTTTCTTTGAAAATGTGATTCAAATCAATTCTGTTTGTTTTCACTTTTCACTGCTCCATATACAGGCTGGTTCATAAATTAGTTTACTGAAGGATTTTCAGCTAGACTACTTTTTTCTTAACCTAGGTTTGTCATTTATGTTACATTGTTTTATTCCTGTTTGTTTTTTAGATCTTGTTGATGACTGTATTTGTGTATAGGGTGAGCAGGAAGTGGTGAATCACTTTAATAGTTTTCAGTCATATTTGCCAGTATGTTCACCACTATGTTTGATACATGCTTGAAAGTGCTTCCACATACTTCATGATGTATCCTGCAGCATGTTGGGTGTGATATCGCTGCCATAGCTGCAGTCACAGCAGCCTTCAGCTTGCCCAGTGTTCTAGAGTTTTTTGAGAGACTTTCACCTTCAGAACTCCCCACAAAGTGTTGTTACAGGTTGGGGATTGGGACTGCGAGTTTGCCCAAGGCATTGCTCAGCCACGACCAATCCCCCATCCCAGTAATTTGTCATCCAGGTATTCTCTGACTGCATGAATAATGGCCAGAGCCCCATCCTGTCAGACAATATGTACACTAGACTGAACCCCCACTTCCTGCCCATCCTGTACCGCTGAAATGGCTCATAGACTTACCAAAGAACAAAAAGATTTTAACTGTTGATTCATTAATCAAGTAAATTTACTTATGGGCCACCCTGTATAGTCACAAGTTCACCCCTTGCACTTAGTATTTATATGGTATCTTTCCATTCCCTGACTGAATGCACTTTTTCTTGCAGTTCCTATCATCTTGAAGGCGACTGGGAATGATGATACTGTTCCGAAAATTGCAAAAGCACCTGTAGAGACACAGCAGACAGAATGAAGAGTCTGGTGATTTCTTGTACTTCCATGTGAAAGGTTTATGGCCTGGGTGTGTCCAGTGAAATGTGTACCTTCTTTCTCTATATTTGAGGATTCTTTTTTATCCTGGGAATTGAATCCGTTGAAGATTCAGGTCATTCTTTTTATGATAGCAAGGCAGATGGCACTCAGAAATCAGTTGTGCTGTATCAGCAGCTTGCCTGTTTTTACTGCAAAATGAGGCATCTACAATGAAGCTTGGTTTTCAAATAAAATTTATATGGAATAAAAGATATAACTTTGTTAACTCCCTGTGAGGGAATAAAACTAGGGAGAAACTCATCAGAAAATGTCTGTGGAGTAGTTAGCAGCAGGAGTAAATCTGAAAAGTACCACAGTTCCCTGTTTCTGTCAGGAAGTTCATTCTTCCTGATCATACTGTTGAATGAAGCAGTGTTTCTCTACAGTGCAGAAATTCCTCTTTTCATTAGCATCATTTTAATATTCCCCTAAAGAACCTGTAGATGTTCCAGTCCAAGTAAGTTCAAAATATGCTTCATCTGCAGAAAGTATATAATTTAGAATAATGTCTGTGGCTTCATCTCCTTTATTTTGCATGTCTCTCCTCCCACTGCATCAAATTTAATTTTTCAGAAGTTACCTTATGAAGTTCAAATGAGCCCTGTGTACTGGCAAATCTTTTCATAAAACCTGTATAATCAGTACATTATGAGGTAATTACCCAAAATCCCATCCCAAGATCTTATGTATCTGCCCATGAGTAATAGGATTCATGAATTCTTTATGAAGAGGACTTTGGCTTTGGTTCTTATTTTAATGTCATTCCAGCAATAAAAACTCAAGTAATTCAGAATTCAGTATAAATCCTTAATTTTGAAGAATGCATGTAGACTTCAAACAATATCTCCTTTATGAGTGAGGGAGTGGAGAAGCTCAGGAAAAGCATTCAGTTGCCTACAAGCAAAAGGTTGAGCATCCCTGTCCCAGACTACCAGTACCAGAGCCTGGGTACACCATAGAGCTTATCACCAACATGTAACAGGCTTTTGACATCCTTGCAGCATCTTGATTCTTTTGGATAACTACAGCATGATCAGTTCTTGCACCATCCTGTCTGCAAAGAATGTTTACTATATAGGGAGGTGTTCTTTTGTTTGCTTGAGATTTGTTGTGGCATATAGTCCGAGACCAAATATGATCTTGGATCATACAGATCACTAATCAGAACTTGGTTGGAGGAGAAGGGCAGGATTCAGCAGTGTTGAAGTTTTTGTAAGCACACTGACCTCTTCCAATATGGCTGAATGTGTCATTGTTCTCCACCCTTTGCATTCATTCAACTTTCCTCAATCAAATGGTTGAAATGGTCCAAGCTGTTGGTCATCAATGATAGCATTATATTGAGTTAATGGATCATCATGCCCATGGCATTGCATAGTATGGAAGGCTTCTGAATTTGATCTATCATTCACTTACTCTTCACATTCAAAGAGTGTTGTCATGCAGTAAGCATTCTTGGTGTCATCTGAATGGAATCTGTTTGATATTATGATGATGAAAAGTGGAGGGTATGGAATATTACAAAATTCTGGTAGTGATGACAACTGAGGTATTTGATAGAAATTTGAAAGAAGTTGTTTCTTTCTACTTGATGAAGCAACATTGTTGTATGAGCCTTCTGCTAGAGGTGCTCAATTCACAAGTCATTATATGCATGCAATCTATTGTTGCCATTCTCAGGGATGTCATTGCATCAACTGTTTCATCCTCATTGAGCACTTATACATGAATATGTGTGAGTGTAGGACAGTTGAACCTATTCTGTTCACTGATCAGAGAGATAGTGTTGATGGTACCATTGAGAAGATGGACATTATAGAAAAGTAATGGGCTCATGCTTATCCTGCTTAAAAAATTAAAAATTAAAAAACAGTTGGCAAGCATTAGCAAAAAAAGGCTTTGCATTTGTAGAAAAATCATTAAAAGACAAACTGAGTTTCTGAATTTGGGATGTCTGGAATCATCAGAATTATTAATAAGCTTTGCTGGCATGCTTCATTAAGTCATGGCTGTGCTGCCATTGATGATATCAAAGCCTGTTAGTGAGAATCTGCAAAAATTCCATAGTGGAGTGAATCATGAGACATTTCAGGTATCTAAAAGTCTGGGAACATTCCATGGTGATTCATTGTAGACAGTCTGCTAAGGTTTAAGTGAATTTAACACTTTTGAAGCCCTACCTACTCCATATAATCAAATTTTGATCTGCAGTCTGTCTGATCAAGCATCTACATTTGTGTCTTTTACTGTGATCTGGTCATGAATGTATTGGTATTTATCATTTATGTTTAGTTTTGCAGGTTGTTGGGTTAATGAGCCCAATATCTTTCAAAAGAATTTGGAAATTGCATATTCACTGTAATAGATTCCTTCTTTTTTCTTTACTTCAAGTGCATGAACTTGTCTGTTGCATTATCATCACTACCCTGTATTAATTGAGTTATTTGAAGAATAGAGGACTTAGCCTGGGTTTTTCTGGTCTTGGACTGGGCCTATATCTTTTTTACAGTTTAGACTGAAATGGAGATTTTGTCCAGTATGCATCTACTAGCAGATTTTAATCCATGAAATATGTGTGAGCTGTTGTGAACAGATTTGAAATCCCAAGATGCTTTATTTGAATTTTTATATATTATTTAATAGGAATTCATTTTGCAATCTAATATTTATTATAGTTTAAAAATAATCTGGTGTTATTGAAAAAATGAATTCTTCAGCATCATTAATCAAGTAGAAGATGTCACAAATACCTTTCTTGTTCAGCATAAATATTTTTAACCCAACTTTTTTGTCACTTAATAAATTTATCATGTGATAATAATGTTATGATGATTTTTTGGACTTGTCAACATATTCCTTGTGCAAATGGCTAACCAAAGACTTCTGTTTGTGGTCCACCAACATAAGCTCTACAATTGACAGATTTCCTCTTACATTAAGGACTTTAAGATAGACAGCTGATTGGCCTTCACATTGTTCTCAGTTCTTTGAAGCCTGTAACAGGAATGTTGTACATATCCTAATGGTTTAGGATAGGTGAATCTAAATTAGCATCAAATGGCCACTGGACTGTGGCTCACATATTTCAATTAAGCCTAGCTCTAACCACTTCTTAATATTCATGCATTCATGGCCAGTACTGAAACAAACCTTGTTGTCAATCTGGTCTCACATTTCATTTCTAAAGTGAATACATATATAGTAGTATTATTTGGTAAGTGTTTTGGCTGCATCAGCCCAACCTATGCTCATATTTCTACTAAAGTATACTTGGACAGTGGTAAAGAAAATTGTTTTCCCTCATTTCCTTTGGTGAACTCTGTGACAACCTCTTGGTTTTGCCAAATTTGAATGATGAGTTGTGAAAAAGAGTTCCAAAGTGCTAAAAATAACAAGTGAGATCATTTTTCTTGTCAGTACAGCATGTGATTTTAACTTATAGTGGAGACTCCATCTTGACAATCCATGGATTTTCAGACTTCATCAAGCAAAAGGAAAAAATTGGGGGTTTATATATAAAATGGGTCATGGGAATGGATGGACACCAACTGTTGCATGTTATACAATCAACATCCACAATTTGTGTCCTTTGTGTCCTTTTTCTGCTTTCTTTTGGCAGGCAGCTTGCCACTAATTTATATTTTTTGCCTCCTACATGCCTTTATATGACACTGCCATTCAGGCTAGAATTTTTAAAGGAAAGAGATATATTGTAATATATAAGCTTTGGCTGACCAAAAGACTTCATCTTTTTTCTTGAAAGATCAGATGCACTACATAACCCAAGCTGTTGTAGAATTAGAGCACATATGGTGCCTTTACAATGAGAAGAGTATTAATGAAAAAAAAAAAACATTGGAAATTTTGGGCTTTCAGCACATCCCAATAGACAATGTGCTGCTGTTATTTACCTACAAAAATTTGCCTAGTTAGTTGTGCTTTTTTGTGGTATTTGGTGAAGAGTATTTGGAGTTCCAGTGATATCTACTCCTTTTGTATCATGTCTTTCTCCCCATTTTTGATTGTCTGACTCTAGCCAAGGGAATAAGTTGTGTTCATTCTTAAGAATTTTTAAATTGTCTTTCAAATCTAAATCCTTCATTATGGGATGTTTATGCCTGGTATGTGTGTTCAAATTATTATATCATATCTTCAATCTCTGCAGCTATTATTCATCTTCTTTGGTATGTTCTCATAAATACATGTTGAGAATATCTTGTGTGATTTTTCCAAGAAATAAACTTATTTTAACAGTATGATTGGTTTTTTTCTTCTAGCAAAAGTACCCCTGAAGAGGTTAGAGTCACTTTCACTCTTCACTTAGCCATTTCCTTCAATCCCCTTGAGGCTCTTTTCCTATAGATGGGAGAGGTGGCATTCAATCAACTGCCACATGCAGCCTCTTGATACAATTGACTAGATGTTGAATCATCTGATACAGCTATGTGAGCCAGAGTGAATTGCTGACCACACTATCCAACTTTGTATTCACAGTGTCATTGCCTAAAGTAGCAATTCTCATCCTTTCATCAGTACCAGCACACTTTTTGGGCAATGGTGACAATATTATATGCCTGAAGTCTGGGAACCAGAACCTCAAAATTCATAATGAAAAGGTTTATTATGAACTGTGACATACCTAATGAGCCTTTCAAGATGATTCATTCAAACTCTTCAAATTTTTTTATTTCACTCCAATGTGAATCCTGTGTCATGCTCAATATTGAAATTCTGAAAAACTCCAGAAAGAAAAATGAGACAATTACTATGACGTGAGTCATGCAACACTAAAAAATGACTCAAACACTGGGCTTCTGCAAGATTTCTTGTTCTTCCACATTTGAAATTAAATGCTAGAACTCTTGTTGCAGCTGATGCAATATTGCTGATGCAACTGCTAGAATTTCCTTAATTTTCTTGGAAAGGAACCACTTTAAATTCATGTTAATTGCATTTAAGTTTTCACTGGTGAGAACTTTTTCCACATCCATGAAAAAAACTTGGGAATTTGGACTGCTTTGCATTTTGGTATCCATGCAATAGATTTGCTACCCTGGGAAGAAGTACTCTTGTATCACAGTGACAAGGCTTGACACACTATCATGTCCTGTTCTGAGAGAAATTATGTGGATGTCTGCTGCTGAGATTCCCTTTATCTGATGTATTTTCTCAGATGTATCTTCTCTTTTTCAGGTACAATACCGAAGAACATGCATAGGTTAAAGGCAGCTTGTGAGTGCCTCGGATTCCATTTTGATCTGAGTTGGATGGATGAAGGTGGAACTTCAAAGGTAGCTCCATTTCTGACCTATGAGAAAGTTTCAGGTTTCCATACGTTCAGAATTGTTTAGAATTGCATGAGATGGTTGGGTACTGGTTCATATCAGTAGATAGTGTATCCTATATAAATAGGCAGTCTTATTTAACAATATAAAGCAAGAGAACGGAGGGATAAGATTGGGCAGACCAAAGCAACTGCATAAAAACATCCTTTTTAGTTCCATGTACCTGCAAATGAAAACTGTAACAGACAAGAAACCTGTATGTGCCAGTCAAGAAAGGCTTTCATGGGTACACAGCCATAAATAAAACATTTTGAGGTATAAAAAAAATTAGTTTTTACCAATATATTTATACCTCCTCTGGAACTATTTACTCAAAACTTTGAGCACACAGTGATGGATATGAAAGGAGATATTTGAAATTAGTATCAATCCAGGGAATTTGCTCAAAGTCTATTCAAATTCTCATAAAGAGAAATTTAAGAATGCTCGACCTCAACACGTGGTATCCAAATGAGTGTTATCGCCTCATGATACAACTAAACTACCTTGATACCTTGAAGAGAATCATCAGAGAAGATGGCATATGGAATGTAGCAACTTTAACCTCTTTAGTCCCAAGCATTTTCCTATACAGAACATTTTCTTTAAAATATTTTCTGCACCAATGGGAAGGATCTCTTTTTTCAATTTATAGCTAGCAGTTCATACGGTTTCATATAACTACAATTATTGAAATCTGAATTTTCCACTCTAATTAACTGAACAGTATTTAAAAACCCAAGCCTTCAGAATTCTGGACACCAGGATTATAGTGGTTGATGCAACTCCAGTTTCTTGTCAATTTTTAAATTCTGTTTTCTTCTGAATCATTTCTCATTGCCTTGCTTTGGAAATGGAAATCAGTTTTGAAGGTCTGTCATGAATATAATTATCTATGCACATTGCAAGCTTCCTGAAAAAAGTTTCAGCATGAGTAGAGATGTATAGGATTAAAGCTGTAGGACTTTTCTTTTTATCCATGCCCAGTATGCTGTTTTCATGAAAGAGTCTGGTTGTTGTCAATTAGGATTTGGCATTTTTCTTGCAGTTCTCTTTTACTCAAAAGTGAATGTATGCTTTCCCAGCCCAACCAGAACTTAACATTCCCAACCGTTCTGCCTACCCTCGCTCCCCTGGATTTCAGTAATATCTCATCACAATGGCATATGATATAAGATAGCTCTTTTATATTTCATTGTCTAGGGAGGAGGAATCAATTGCTTCAAATTTTGTCTGCATCTTTTCTTGTCCTTGTAGTTTGGTGCCTCCATGTTTTAGAGCATTTTCAGTGAGAGTTGGTGTAGTATAATGATGATAGTTACTGTGATGATCTGAGGAAGCAGTCATTATACTGTGAGAGTAGGAATGAGTCATAAGAGGACTTAAGGAATAGGCAGGACAATCCAAGCAAGTCACAAAGGGATGAACTGCAGTAGGTTGGAGACCATCTGAACAGAAGGGAAGAAGGCTTCTGTTTATGATAACATGGCTCTCCAATTGGAAAATGAGTTTGCTTAATTTGATGGAGTTGCTATGTGAAGGAAGGGTCTTGTAGCATAACAGAGGCATCATGGTGTAGGATGAAGGCTGGATGTTGCTCTAAATACTACTTGAGTACACCCACACTACAGGGGGGCCCTACCTTTCAAGTATTTGTCAAGATAGTGCCCTCATCAAGCTTTCCTGATTAATTCCATTTAATAAACAAAAAAAAAAGCCTGAGCAGTGAGAAAAGAGTAGACAGTACAGACCCTTCTGTCTTCCCTTGATCACCCTGTCAAAACTCCTGAAAGAGCCATCCTGTATTGCATACTGAATCAAAGAAGACAAAGTGAGATTTCCAACAATGCCACGATTGCAGCATGAAATTTTGAGCCATGAAAAGAAAAAGAAAGCATGTACCTGATTCAATCAATGAGCTTGGGGGAGCTTTCAGTTTGGTTTGGCTTTTTTGGAATGGAATATAAAGATACTTGCCATCCACAATATGGAGAGGTATGAGGTAGGATTGACAACTACAACCAGAGGATCACTAAAATTCACCCTTGAGACTTCAGCCATGGATCTACACTTAGTTTTTAATTCCTTATGGTGGATGCCAGGAATGATTAGGTTTCTTTGTTGTTAGACCAAATTACAGTTTGCAGATTCAGCCATATTGGCTCACAATAGTTTTTAATTCCTTATGGTGGATGCCAGGAATGATTAGGTTTCTTTGTTGTTAGACCAAATTACAGTTTGCAGATTCAGCCATATTGTCTCACAATAATGTCTTTCATCTTCAGGAAAGTATGAGAAATGGCAAAAAAAACTCAACAAGACCCAATTAGACTTCTCTGTTCCCTTTTTCGTATCCATATATATTTAGACATATATTTAAAATTTCATATATGATCATAGGTTCCATTGTAATATCTTGCAGAGGACAGAGTCAGTGATTTTGAATGAAGAAGAAGCCCTGCAAATCCTAAAGTCTTTCAATTTTGAAGAAGCCATCCTGAATGAGTTCATGGAAGATGTTTCCATGAAGTTGCACAACACTGTGATTCCCAAGTTCTGGAAACTTTTGGAGCTACAAGAAGCATCTGAGCCCTTTGCAGTCTTCTGTGATGCTGTGCACGAACTCTCGTCTTCCCTCAGGGGGGTGCTTGCCCGAGTGCCTCTCATGGAAAGACTACGTCCAGAAAAATGGACAAAGTGTGGCCAGACCACAGTACTTGGGCTTTTGAAGCTGCATTTGAAAACAGAACTGAAATCCCAGCGCCCCCTGCACTACAAAAATCTTCTGATACAATTCTACTCAAGGGCATTCAAGATCTTCCATCATCGCAGGGAAATTGGAGGTCTTGCATTGTTCATTCATTGCTTTTTCTTCAACTTTTTTGTATTAGGGTAAAATACCCAATGATGGACCATGCCACATAAAAATTCCAACAGCTAAACTTCAGTGCACATATGCCCCTGTAGTGACAGAATAGCAACATGCAATCCTGTCACATCAATGGTGTTCATGCTGCAATGATTTATTTCTTGAAATTTTCTGGTACCATGACCCATCATTGAGTATTTTACCCCACTTGCACAAACTGTTGCATATTCATCCCTATATCATGCATGCATTCCAGATTTATTTTTCATTGCATATTTCTGGCCAGACCTGCAGTCTTCATTGCTGTTTGACTGGATATTGCTACATCAACCTTATTTCAAAAGTCTTATGGCCTTCTTTTTTTTTAGTGCAACTTGGACTGGAGTGGACACATACAGACAAGGATGATGCTAAAAGCATATCATCACATAGTAGGGAAAATCAGTTCTTATTGAACATCTCTGGCAGTGCTGCCTTACCATCCCCACTTATTAACACTCTTGTATCCCGTTTTCATGGGACTGGGGAGGTGATAACAGTTTCAGTGTTGCTTTGGGTCTAGCTCCTCCCATCACTGCATATTGGGTCATTAAGGCTCCTGTTGCAAGTGCAAGTGAATAACACCAACCCTTGACCTTCGTGCCATAGAGCTGCAAGTGACCTGTGCTTGAGCTCAAGCAAGAGAAAGAAACTTTTACCTGAAATAACTTGTCACATATATAACCCTGTAGGATTTGCCTACCCTGATTGAATTTGAACCTCAACTTCCTGATTAAGGCCCTTACCACTGAGCCATGGCAGCAAGGTTATCATTTTATTTTCACAATTCTGAATATGGCAATGTATAAGAGAATAGAGATGCATGCAGAGAGTGGTTTTCTCAGACAAATTGGATTCTCAGGTCTGTCGATATCAGCCAGTTTGTCTGTTCCTATCCATGATGATGAGAAAATTTGTGTACAGGAATTGAATTGTCTATCACATTTTGATCAAACCTCTTCCTCTTCACAATTTTATCAAAGCTGCAAGTGTGAGGCTCCTGTCCTAGGAGAGCAATAGAGGAAAATATATTATTTACCTTGCTGTATTCAAATCAGGATGTTTTTCAAACATGATTTATCTCTGGAATATTATTGGATTCTAATAAGATGACAAACCATATCAGTATACATGGAAGGATATCATCACCCCTTTACTCTAAAAAAGAAATAAGATTTAGTTATTGCAATGGGAAATGCACCACTGGTAGGGCTAATTGAATATGTTCGCTTTTTCTGCTGTCTTCCTGATAGAAGTGGGAGATTCTGAAGATGGCATGTTCTGTAGAGGATGTGAAGAGGAGAATGAAACCTGTCAATGTGATTCCATCCTTCATTCATTTGACAGAGGTTTGCTTTCTCTTGTTCTCTTTAGTGAGTCTTCTTTCAAAAATAGAAGGAAGTCATGGGTGCAGTCCAATCATGTCACTGGGCGTGTTGCCAGTTGAATCACAAAATGATAATGAAAAAATAGATTGCTGTTGTTGCAGTTAAGGTTCCTATGCCAGATAAATGGGTGGGAGGCTAGGAAATACAGACTGGGAATCAGCTTGCTGAGACTGGCTGGTGAGTGGTGTGTCAAGAGAGGATGGTGGTTGAAATATTTTGTCACCCCTTACTGTATTCAACCCCTTGTATGAATTGCATTGTGCTACATGATGAATTCCTGTTTAATAGCAGTAAGCTACAGAATGTATTGCCAATTTCATGTTGTATCATATCTGCTACAATGGCTTGGTAGTTTGACCCTTGATCGTGATTCATTAATGTTTTGACAGTATCTGTCTATCAGACAATCAGTATTCTTTTTCTTTCTTACACTAAAAAAATCATGCAGTAAGGGGTTGATCTTCTCCCATTCCCTCTCATTGCTTCCAACCATCATCCTTAAATTTCTACACCATGGATGTCCGAACTCTCCTTTGCTTGGTGCCTACCCCAAAAGTTGTTATAAAAATTCTGCCTAGGCACTTACAAAAAATTTGGCTTTCAAACTGCAAACATTTGTATCCATTCAATTGCTCGCTCTGTCACCTAAAATATATAAATTTTGGAAACTAATATATATAAAGTAACTTGCAAGTTCCTCCTTACAGACTGATTGAAAAGTCAAACAAACCAAAGTAAATCCTGTCAGGACTGGAAGAAGAGACAGAAACATTTTTTATTGTGCATAAAATCAAAGCATGCTGCACAGGTGGCATCTATTGTGTGGATGGAAGTTTGGTTCATATTGCATTAGCTGAAATTGCATTCCTGTGTTATTTGCTTTAGTAGATTAGATTAGATTAGCCATGTGCTTTAGTATTAATTTGAGATGGAGGTTCCACTAAAATGCACCTCATAATATAGAGTATTGAATAAATACATATATTCAAGATTGATCCTCTTCCAGCACTGCTGTGGGCTCTGAACCTTCAAAGTGAAATGATGTGCTATGCATGCAGAGCTTGGTTTCAGTGGAATATAAAGTTTCTGTGTTTCATCTTTTGGTTATAACAAGGTACCTTTTGAACTGCACAATCACCCTTTACTTTAGGGTATGCTTTTCCCCTTGATGTGATCAATCTTTTTTTTATTCTTGAGTTTGATCAAAATGAGCAGTTTGCACATTTAAATCAAATGCCAGAAGGGGTTACAGGGATTGGCCTTCATAATGTTGATGTTTTAGACTGTGTGCAACTTAAAATATAATTCTATAAAAAAGTTATTCAGGATAAAAAATGTGACATTATTCACTCTTCATATGCAAGAAAGCTCAGGTTTTGATGGCTCACTGTTCTCTTGGACAAGCTTATGTAGGTGGAATGTAGCTGTCACTAGTGACATTGATCTGGCTTGACTTTTCAGTGAATCAGGAACTGAAAGTGTTGGGACTCCTGGAATGCTTGGTTGGTGATGTCTTGACTTCCATTGTTCATGAGACCATACAGAATCATGTGCAGGCGACATGCAAAGGCAGCTTTGATGTTTCTCACGTTGATGGTCTTGAGAAGGTATGCCCTTGAAGGTTGTATGACTAGTCTGAAAAGACTACTGTTTTGTATGATCCTGAGAACACTATGAATGAATGATGCAGTGGCTGAGGAAGGTGGTCTTGGATTGGTTCACCATCATTCTTGGAAATCCTGGAGATACATTTTTGGAAACTCTTGAAGCTCGATTGCTTCAGTTCTTGTTTGAAACGTATACTCATACGAGAATGGAACAGCTCTTCACCATAGTCATAGGTAGGCTCTATCTTCAAAACATGTGAGAAAGACCTTTATGATTTTTCCATCATTGGATTATTTGCATCCCTTCAGAGTTCCCAGAATCACAGCCAGCCCTGGAGGACCTGAAAGAATGCTTGGAGAAGACAAACCTTCGAACTCAGCTCATTCAAAGCCTCAAAGCAGCACTGCAGACACGGCTTCTCCATCCAGGGGTAAACACAGCAGACATTCTAACAGCTTACATTTCTGCTATCAAGGCTCTGCGAGTCCTTGACCCCTCTGGTGTCATGTTGGAGCTTGCATGTGGTCCAGTTAGGTGAGGGAAGCTTCATGGCTCAAAAATTAGAGGCTTATGAGAGCCATCTCTCTTGAAATTGGAGTTTCCACGATGCTACTACGAACAGGGAGTACCTGAAAACACGAGAGGACACCGTGAAGAGGATCGTTTTGTGTCTCACTGATGAATACTATGGAGATCTCACAGAGGAGTTAGGGAAAGTGGATGGAAGTGGAGGCACCAGAGCTGCAGGAGGGACCCAGGGGAACAAAGGCAGTCACGAACCGATGGAAGTACGGGTAGGAGATTGGCAGCATTGGATGCCCGATCCGTGGGATGCTGCTCCTCCTTCCATCCAGAGTCTCTTGCCAGCATCTGAAAATCCTTCAGGTATGGTCTTGCAATCCCCTCATCTTGGCTCATATGAAGTGTTTATTAGGTAGTGAAGCCGAGTGTATCTCAAATCCCTAAAGAATCCTAGCTCTTAACATTACAAATTTAGTTCATGAGAGCTGATGGGGCTGAAGAAGTTTTTCATCCTTAGTTATACCTCATGACATTATAATATTTAAAGATGGTACTGACCTTGCAAGGAAACCAAGCTATAAGCTAGAAAAGAAATGCTTTGTGTCAGGATGCTGTTTCGTGTACAAGCTAGAATTATAAGGTGGGTCTCACAGATCCTCTCAAATTTGGTTGAATTAGAGTAGGCTGTCTCAGAGCATTCAACATCTAGAATCTAGTGGTTTGTGTGAGCAGTCTGCTTGCAAAAGAAATATAAATTTTCTAAAGAGGGGAAGAGTAACAATTCTTTAGCATGGCCATCCTTGTCATCTTGTACTCAAGGTATTACTTTCTCCCCATGTTGAAATTCAACTTTCTTGAGAGGAAAAATAAAGAAGAGAATACTTTGGAATATACTTGTGAAAATGCATGTATCAAAGATGATCTCCAAAGAAGGCCATGGAAGGGAGGGAACTGAGATTGTTGCTAATGAAAGGAACGAGGTGGCAGATGGTTTGTTCATGGCAGTATTCTTACTGTGTTATTCCTCTTCTGGAGTGACACAAAGTAAGTGACTCATGTTTGAAAACCTTTATTAATCCCTCTTTAAATTACGTGGTGTCTTTTAAGATGTTTACAAGAATCGATCTGCAGACATCGTCTCCATGCTGATTGGGATCTATGAGACAAAGGACAAATTCGTCACAGAGTATCGGACGATCCTCGCCAATCGAATCCTCCGCTTGCTGTCGTTTGAATCGAAAAAAGAAACTCGCTACCTGGAACTCCTCAAGCTCAGGTGGGTTGCACATCTATAAGATGGATTTTTCACTTTGGTGCAGTAGTTGATTTCATGGATGGAGGGACACATGTTGGTACTGAACTTTTCGTCAAATTAGTGTTTCACTTTCCATGATAGATTTGGTGAATCTCTTCTTCACAACTGTGAGGTGATGCTGAAGGATGTGGCTGACAGCAAGCGGATCAATGCTTTCATCCACGGCCTCAAGGAGTACGGAATGCCGGAGTTCCCTTCCTACCCGGTAGAATCCATGATCGTCTCGGATCAGTTTTGGCCGACGATACGGGAAGAGAAGCTGGAGCTCCCGGCCTCCGTCAAGGAACACCTGGACATCTACACCAAAGCATTCGAGATGCTCAAGGGGAACAGAACTCTTCACTGGAAGACACAACTGGGAATAGTTCACATGGACCTCGAATTGGAAGGAGGTCGTACCATCAATCTCATGGTGTCGCCAGCTCATGCCACCATCATTTTGCACTTCCAGGTGAGCAGGTGCCTCGTTTCAGCCTCACCACAAAAGTTTCTCTTTTGGCTTGAGCTATTGAATAAGCTGTTTCCATTTTAGGAGAAAGAAGAATGGACCCTGGATGAATTGAGTGCGAAGACACACATGACAACCATGGTGTTACGGAGGAAGCTGGCCTTTTGGCAGGGAAAGGGCCTGATCAGAGAGGTTAATGGAGACAAGTTTATCCTGGTCGAAGATGGCTACAGGGAGGAGAAGCCCAACCTATCACTCACCACAACTTCCGAAGACGACGACGAAGCCAACGGATACATGGCATCTGCTTCTGATCAGCATCAAGAAAAGCTTCAGGTACGAGAAGAGGCATGCACTGATCTCATTGTTATCTGTTGTATTGACACTGGTGCAAATTCAAGACCTCGGTTGCCCGTAGCAGAAACTGATCACAATCAATCTGCAACTTCTTCCAATCTCGTGTCACTGGGTAATTCTGAAGCTGGTCCACACGACTAGGTTCTGTGAGCATCGGGTACGTATGCTATCATTGATGAGCTCTTCCCTCTTGTTCCTGTAAGGTGGGCCATGATGGGTATTGAAATTGACCAGTGGATACCCATAAAAAGGCACATTGCAAATTTTCAGTCGGTGCTTCTGAGAGATGAAGGCGGTACCGTCCTCCCAAATCCTCATCCTACCCTGAATCCTCACCCCCCCTTAGCCTGTCCCGGGTTGCTGTGGAGAGTTTCCACAGTAAGCCTTCAAAGCCTACTCTATGATTGGATGGCACTCGAGATTTTCTTGGACAGGTCCTCTCATGGTGTCACCCTCGATCCTTTTTTGCCTTTTATCTACTTTCGTCTCGCTTTCTCCTTCCAGGTGTACTGGACTTACATCATGGGGATGCTGACGAACATCGAGTCTCTGACGTTGGAGAAGATGCACTCCATGCTGCGAATGTTCACGTTGCAAGGGCCGCAGCTGGAAGAATGCACCCAAGCCGAACTCAGGGAGTTTCTGGACCAGAAAGTGAGGAACCATGAGCTCATGTTCGTCAACGGTTCCTATCGCCTCGTGAAAAAGGGATGATCTCGGTGATCTCCCACATTCCTCATCGTCTGAGTGACGATTGCCTGCCGGAATTCGTGGTCTTTTGTTCCCAGTCACGAGAATGAAATTATTTTCTGTTTCTATGAATACACAAAGATAGATATTGATTTGTGGGTCTTTTTTGATTGGCCCATCCAGCACTGGGACTGGTATTGTCTGTACTTCTCATGGATGACCTTCAGTGGAGTCAGAAAAGTATTCTCTTGCAAACATGAGCCTCCACACGTTGAAAAAATGCTCTATTTGAAAGTATTTTTACCCCCTCTCTGGACCATAACTAGGAGGGAAGGGAGTACAAGTCAAGGTCCCAATGGCCCAAGAAACACCAAAGGTCCAGTGGAATTTTTTTGAAGTGTCTTAGGCACCAGCTAAAAATGCCAAGAAACCTCAAATAATATAGACAGCAAAGGAGTCGAAATAGAAAGATGAATTATTTACATCGGAATATCTCAATTTTGCATTGCTCATGAGATTTCCTTAACAAGAACCTTGATTCCCCCTCTCTCATCACCCTATTTTGTTGTTTCCTAATTACATGTGAGAGTCTCAGTAAAATTTTAAAGAATAATTTTCCAGGAATCCACCCGAAACCTAGCTGGGCTTCTTGACTTCAAGCTTAATACCAACATTGCACACATATAGCTTCCCTGCAAGAATCCTGCTATAGATGGGAGGATTCTATGAAGAAAAAAAAAACGATGCTGATCATGACATCGATGAAGATAGACGATGCTGCAAATGGAGACATGGTAGCCGAAGAATGAGTACGTCACACTCTGATATGAAATGTTTTCCATATGAAAAGCAGGGAAGGAAACCGTATCGATGAGAGCCGACTTCTTCGATCGCGATTGACCTCCGATTGAAAAGAACAGAAGACGTGAAATGAGGCTCATTCAGGCTCTTGATTGATGCAGGACTCAGAAGTGATGGCTGCACCTCAACTCTGACAAGACCCACCCCAGAAAATGAGTTCTCCCCTTGCAGATGATGCCGGCAGCCACGGTGAGCATACCAAAGAAAAAAGCCCTTAGTCCCTAGTTGGAACGGAACCAGCCGGAAGACGCCTCAAGCCCTTCCCTTCCCCCCGGTGCCCCGAAAAAAACGCCCACTGAAAAAATGCCCACGGAAATAATGCCCACAGTAAAAACGCCCACAAGAAAAAATGCCCACGGAATAAACGCCCATACCTGCAAAGTACGAAAAAATGCCCACATGCGTATTTTCAAATATCTCTTGCGGCTTCTTTTTTATTTGTAAAAACGAATGCAGTTTAATTTTCCAAACGTGATATATAACCATTGAATACATTAAATATATCATATCTATCAACGTAATAAAACACGAATATGAAGAAAATTCCAAAGATTCCAGAACGCTTCAACGTTGGATCAACGAAAGGAGTATTATTTCCGGGAATGCAAAGGAAAACGTGAGAAAAAAGTCACTTGAGATAAGATCTGGTGCGTGGGATTTTGCTGCTAATTCGCCTGTCCTTTGGATCGATTTCAATAGCAATGGAGTGATTGAAGTGTGACATGTCACGTTTGACATGAGAAGGTCCGGTTGCCTACAATTATCTTGGAGGTAGGGGCGTATTGATCCCGAGGAAGGCGGAAAGATAAGCTCCATACAGAGGATCATGGGAAAAAAAATATTTGAACATTGTTTTAGACAAGACACTGACAACTCTTGATTGACAATCCCCTCCTACCCCCTGTGAAGTATGAGGAGGAGATCATGATGCCATTGTTCGAAGTATCTTCAAACGGATGATATATAAATACGGCGTCTTAAGCTTATTCATTTCACTTCAAGTAACCATGGAGTTCATCTCGAACCAGAAAGGCGGACGGAAAGTTATCTTCGAAGGCTTCATGTATGTGAAGCACTCCCAGAAGAACGACAAAATCCGGTGGCGCTGTGCCCTGCGTTCCCTATCTTGTGGGGGAATTTTGTTCACGGACGCCGACTGCACCAATCCCTGTCCAGGAGCAGCTCATAACCATGTTCCGGACACGACAGCTATCAAGATCAACAAATGTCGTGTCTCCATGAAGCAGCGAGCGGCCAAGACGTGTGACAAGCCAAGTGTTATCGTCTCGCAAGCCATGATGTATTTGGATGACGATGCTCGTGCGCTTTTGCCATCAGAGGCATCCATCAAACGAACTCTGCAAAATCAACGCAGCTCTTTCTTCCCGGCTGAACCAACATCTCTGAAGGATCTTCATATTGAAGGCATGTGGGCAACAACGGGTGGCTCAAATCCGCAACCATTCCTTTTCTATGACAATGGTCCAGACGCTGACTCACGGATCATTGCCTTTGGGTCAAATCAGTGCCTGCAACTTTTGGCGAACAGCAACAAGTGGTTCATGGATGGCACCTTTTCCATGGCACCCCGCGACTTCACGCAGGTGTACGTGGTTCGAGTTCCCTTGGCTGACGTCACTGTATCTTGTGTCTACGCTTTTCTTCAGAGGAAGACAAAAGAAGTTTATGCTGAGCTACTTCAAGCCATTGCAAGCAAGTGCGAGAAGATTGGTTCGCCAGTGGATCCATCGGTCGTCATCACAGACTTCGAGGCGGCAGCCATGCAAGCTGTTAGGGAATGCTTTGGTGACCATGTGACTACACAGGGGTGCTTCTTTCACCTGACACAGAATACTTGGAAGAAGGTTCAAGAGCTGGGCCTCGTTGACCGTTACCGCCAGGACGATGAATTCAAGCACTTCTGTGGCATGTTGGACGGTTTGGCGTTCCTGCCAGTTGCAGACGTGGAACGAGGGATGCAATTTCTTCGCACCATCACGCCACCAGATGCAGAGAGCTTGGTCGACTACTTCGACGAGACATACGTCACAGGAAACTACCGACGACTCGATGCGAGTGGTACTGTGGCTCGGTTTCGCCGCATCCCAGCAAAGTTTCCCCCATATGTCTGGAACGTCTACGAAGCAACTTTGTCTGCAGCCGACCGAACCAATAACCAAGCCGAGGGATGGAATCATAAACATCTTCACATAGTTGGCCACAAACACCCTACTATATGGAGATCTATCGCTGCCTTCCAAGCCGACAATGCTACTGTTGCAACTTCTATCCTGCAGAACGCAACTGGAAATCCTCCCAAGAAGAAGGTGAAAAGGGCAACACAAGACTATCAGAAACGACTACATAATCTGTGCCTGGCCTACAGTCAGAAGCAGAAAACAACTGAGGAGTTTCTTCGCGGAGTGGGACATGCTATTCGTTACAAGAATAATTAACATGCGATTGTTCCACTTTGCAAAAGCGCTTCAAGTGTCGCCTACATTTCCTGTATTATTTAATTTGTTCCATTTCGGCAATGCCATAAATGAGATGCTTTTTTGCAGAATAAAAATAAAATAAAAACCAGGAAAATATTCAAGTGGGCATTTTTTCGTACTTTGCAGGTATGGACGTTTTTTCCATGGGCATTTTTTCTTGTGGGCGTTTTTTCTGTGGGCATTATTTCCGTGGGCATTTCTTCAGTGGGCGTTTTTTCGTATATTCCTCCCCCCCCCCCCTGACTCTTCTTGCAAAATGTTTCGTGCAAAGCCAGAAATTTCTTGTCATTTGGAGAAAACAAGGGGATAAGGAAGTGACTTAAAAGAAAAAACTGGAGGAAAACGAACGCAGAAACAGGAGTTGAAATGCGATTCCATCACATTCATTATACATGCATTTCTGATCCTCCCCATGGATTGGCATGAATTCGACTGATGAGTAGTGGGGGGGGGGGGGGGGGAAAGCCCCCTCTCCCCCGTCGCTGGCTTGCGCCAGCTCTGAACTTGTTGCTTTTCCAAATCCAGAGAGGAAAATAAGGTGGGTATGCTGAATCTCATGATTTTTTAAGTTACCACTCAAGCCTCAGCTGCTTGCCTTTGTTCATGACTGCTATTTTTTAGTTGAGTTCATTTCAATGTGCAAGCAGGGAAATGAATAAATATGAGTGGTACAGCTATCAGATCTTCAGGTCCATATTTTAGTTCTGGCTTTGAAAAAGACAAAAATTTAAACTTCTTGGGCCTCAAAGCCTCTGTGGTCTTTGTCTGGAAGGTACAATTAAAAATACCAATTGATATGCAAGCTAGATAAAGTGAATGTGTTTTTTTGTCCCATTCTCAGCTTCACTGTCATATCAACTTGATTATGATATCATTTGAAGTCCATTGAGGTTTTCTTCCACTCACAAAAACCTTTTGTCCCAACCTACAGAGCAAGAAAGCATCAAAGGTCAGATGACATACAACAACTGAGAAGGTGGGAGACACCTCTTCCCCCAACTTTGATGCTTCGAAATCACAAAGATGATTGTTTCTGCAGGTGTCCACATGATGAAATGGCACTGACCCCTCCTAGTCAGTGCCAGGCAAACTTGTACCTGATGTACTTCATTGCAGCAGAAATATATTCTGCTTGAAAATAAATTATTGCATTTATTTATGATTGTCTTTTTTTAATTATGAATTTCCTTTATTTACAAGACATGCCCTTTACAAAAAGGTTGAGTGAGGTGAGGTGGAATATACATTGAAGAGTAATAAGAAAGACGATTGAGTTGGACAAAATGATGATGGGCGCATGCTAGTTGTCATGGAAGGGCAGGGAGATCTTGGAGTTGGGCTCTTTCCTGAAGGATTCTTTGAGTCAAGGTCTGCAGAGCACTTTATGTTTAAAGGTTTCGTGCTCAACATTTGGCCTGACCAATAAATAGCCAGAGATAGTCTAATGCTTCGATTGCTTGACTGAGCAGAACTCTAGACTAGGCCTGACCCTGATCCTTGAGATCCTGAGGATATTAGGACTGATTGATGTCGTTCCCTTACCATAGCCACACCAACAAATAGGTAGGGCTTCAAAATTTTGATACTAGATGAGATTTTCGAGGAACGCGCAGAAGAAAGTAGCTCTGACACATGCAGTAATTTAAATTTCGTAATACAGAACATTTTTGTTCCTTCGGACAAAAAAAAACGACTTCGTAAAGCAAAAAAAAATTCGTTATACAAAAACTTTTCAACATGCATGTGAATGGGAAAACGGCCCGGATCTGGGGAGAAATTCGCAATAAAGAAAG